ATTGACCATGCACTTTCGTGTGCCGGTTTTGTTTACTGTCTACGTCTACAGATTCGGGGAGACACTCAAAGCAATCCCTAGCCATGGCAGCCTGAAAGCCATCCCAATCGAATTCTCAGCCAAGCATGTTATTATAATAATCTGGCTGCTCCATCTAACGTAAGCAATGCCGTGTGTNGTGTATATATTTACTGACTACAACGGTAACGCACCTAAAAACGCAGATCTTCGTGAAATAACGGTATTATAAACTTGATTACCTAAAATCACTACATTACCACAATCCAACCAAGTTACTTGCACGGTCCACGATAGTTCGTTGGAAGTTCACCTGCTGAGAAGTTCACCTCTCCGTTTTCAATGGGACATGTTGCGTCCTGCACTGTGTGATAACTCGTCTATCCAAATTAAGCGGGCCATTTCGAAACTACCGGTTCCAAATCAAGTTTGGCGAAAGTCAATGAAAACTACTTCGATCAGCAAAACCATATATTTAGCATAAGAAATTAGCAGTAATTGGCTGTTTAGACTATGTGTAGACAATAAATTAAGTACCTAGTACACACAATGGGCGATTCGCATCATCGAAGCTCGGCTCGCCTTCCTTCGCCCTTCTTGCGTTTCCCTTTGCCACGTAGTTCACGCAATCTGCGCATCTCATCTCTGAAATCAGCGTGTTCATTTCGGTACAGACCAAGGACGCGTAATTTGACGAGAATGTTTCGATACTCCTCCAACGGCGGATAGTAGTCTTTTAATATAAGTGGTCTGGGTTTTTCACCCATAATACGAACCACCTTCTCGGATTTTGAGTCAACCAGGCGACCCACATCGACGAAGATGCGCCCAGCAAGAATAGCCATACGTTTTGCGTAGGAAGACGATAGGTGAGACATGCTGAAATCAAAATTCGATTACAGAGGTTGTGAGTGTTGGGAAAAGTGGAATAACGTCACCAGGGAAGATGTGTGCATTATCACGGACGACCCCTCAACCCTCAATAATAACAATAGCTTTCAGCAAAGATTAATTCACTAAATAAACAACTTATTCATAAGATAAGTCGAGGGCTCAAGCAACAGACTTCCAACGACAACGACCCGTTCAAAATGTGAACTTTATGTCCGATTCATTCCTATAACAAAAGCCGACATGTCACAGGTTAACGGCTGTTTGTGAAACGACCGATTTTATATTAATTGCCACTATCAATCAACAAACATTCAGGAAACATTCAACCAATGGAGGGACAGAAATGTTATAAATGTGTGAATTTAATAGATCATAAGCATCTCTTTTTCGAAACGTTACGGCAACTTGCTTGTCTCTGCGGCACATTGTGATGAGGTTTGCGCATACCAACGCAATTTATTCTACTAGTACATTCATGAACAAATGGAAGGGGGAAGCTATCTTAAACAAATGACGGCATTGATTATTACACAGTCGATAGGAACGAGCGCGGCAGCCCAGTCGCAACGAATGTCAAGTCGGCATTTGAACCGCAAGTCGCTGATTGCTTTGAACAATGGCGCCCGTGCGTCCACTCACTATTCCCCTAACACTATTCTATATGAATTCTCCATCTTCCGATTGAATTTGCTTTCAATATTCCAGTCTTCATTCTGCTCCTTATCCAAATGGGGGCACCAAAAGACAGCAACAAAAACCGCCGCACGAAAGTGCATGGTTAATGATTGTAAAAACAGAACTGAACATTCCAACCAGATACGCAAATTTGCAAACTGCATTTCGTCCGGAAAAAACAACATCGCAATGCAAGCTCGGATGCGTGCAAAATAAATCAAGTTCGAATCATGGATCACATCCTATTATCCTTAGGTCCTTGCTCTGCATATATGCTTTGCTAAGGTCCTTGTGGATATAGTGGTAGGTTGTATGAAGGTTGAACGCCGATAACCATCCATTTTAGATGGTCTGATATTCTCCCATTGATGAATCTAGTGAATCAATATTTTAGCCACGGTAGTTTCACCATCTCTCTGGTTATAGCGTGGAAAGAATTTGCATTTTTAACTCTCATATCCAACGTGAGAAACAAACGGCTTTTGGAAGCAACTTGTAGAATGACTACGCCCCCGCAGCCCTGGATGACGTCTTATCGTGTTCAGCAAAGGAAATACTCGGACATGCTGAACTCGGAGTTTAGAATATCCTACCAAAGCTAAATCTCTCTTAGCTATCACGATGAGAATGCAATTTGGCGTGGTGTGATGGTTTGCGTGCCTCCATGGTGCTGCGAGCTATACAGGATGGCTCCTCACTGCTGCAGATTCAATCACACCTGAAAGGTCAATGAGTAGAGGCCAAACGAAGATCTGTCTCACATAGCCAGCTGTCTGGGCACCTCCGGCTTCCTTGACTTCAGCTCCTGGAGAGGTCACTCCAGCAAAAAAAACACGAGGCAGTTTATCGATCAAAAAATCCCACTAGATAGAATTAGGCACGTGGTATCTGAGGCTTCCTCCTGACGATGGAAGAAGTCTTCGCACTTCACTGCACAGCTACCACCCGCCAAAGCTGGGCAGCCCACAGCCAATAAAAAGCTGTCCCGTCCACAGTCAGCTTGTTTCATAGGGTACATGAGGCTAAGGGCCGATCGCTAATAGCGGACCGACAATCAACGGACCAGCGAACATTACCATTATTCAAAATTCAAAGGCCTTGCGAGACAGGTCTCTAGAAGCTCCCACATGGGTGCTTCGTTCACGCTTCCGCGTTGGATATACGACCCACTACCTTGTGGGTCAGACTTCTGAGTGGAAGGCTCCGGTTAGGGCTCCCAAAGAAAAACCCCTTCGTCGGCGTGGGCAACCGGGAAACATGCCGTGGCCCAAAGTCTTAGGTACCGATTTGAAAAACCATCTTTCGCAACTGTCCACTACCTCTTTTCACTCTCAAATCTTAGAAGATGCATCCTGTTTGCGTCACATCGGATATCACTCAGCGTTCAACTAGTAGGGTCAATCAACCAGAAACCTGCAGGATTTTGAAACTAAAATCTCCCTTCCACCTAGCCGCATTCAATGTCCGCACACCCTACCAGATCGGTCAACAAGCTGCCTTAGCTAAAACCTTGAAACTTTCCATTTAGATATATGCTGTCTCCAAAACACACATACAAGACCCTATGTCAATCATCCTGCGTTCTCCAGATCCAACGTCATCCTCACGCTTCACTTTCCGTGCGTCAGGCGACTGGATATCCAAAGCTCGCGGTATTTTTTACACAATGTGAATCACAGAAAAAGGGGAAATCCCCATGAACAAATAGCTTAATGTAAAAAGGAGAGTACCGTTTAAAAGTGCAGCGTTGTAAGTTGGGGGAAAAACAGCAAGTGGGAAGGTGTTCCACAGTTTGGCAGGTCGGGGAAAAAAAGAAGATTGGAGTAGAGAGGTACGACATCTGGGAACAGAAACCTGATAAGG